ACAAAAGTACATAGAGCTTATGGATTCCCGAGGAGTAATAATATGCGAAGAATTCAGAAAACATCAGTGAAAAGAATCGAAAGTCCCGAAAATCACGAGCATTTCATTATTTTGTTAATCTTCGAAATAAATTGGCAAAAATTTGCCTTTACTGCTTGAAATAAAAAGCGGCTATCAGACAGTACCCACTATCTACTAATTTATATTGGGGACTGAAGAACTCCCATTAGCAGAGGGGAATTTGTCCATTTTATCTATACTGATCGTTCAAGTATGTAGCAAGGCACCGGAGTAGATCTCTACTCGGGCGATTTCCAGTCCAGATTAAGCAGTGCTTTCGTCTGCCGAACTACTCAAGTGGAATTTACTACCAAAAATAGTTTAACAATTTTTTAACGGAAGCTTATAATATTTAGAAGAGATCTGTCAAACCCGTTTTTAGTTGGTTTTATTTAGCTTACCTTTTGATTTTTTAGGACACATTTAATAATGGAATTAACCAAGTCAAGATTTCGTATCGTGTCGAAGACTGTATGGTGTTAGGGTGCCGAAAAATTATATGTCGATAGCGGTACACTGCCCAAGTTAGCGTAGAAGATTAAAGCACGCCGAGGACTAGTACAAGAGCCTTGCTCCTCAATAATAAAATTAAATTGGTNTTTTAACGGAAGCTTATAATATTTAGAAGAGATCTGTCAAACCCGTTTTTAGTTGGTTTTATTTAGCTTACCTTTTGATTTTTTAGGACACATTTAATAATGGAATTAACCAAGTCAAGATTTCGTATCGTGTCGAAGACTGTATAGTGTTAGGGTGCCGAAAAATTATATCTCGAAAGCGGTACACTGCCCAAGTTAACGTAGAAGATTAAAGCACGCCGAGGACTAGTACAAGAGCCTTGCTCCTCAATAATAAAATTAAATTGGTAAAAAAAAATTCAACTAAACGGTTTTATTAAAAATAAGGCTTTGAACTTTAACATATATATTTTTTTTGCTGACGGTGCTAGGTATTTTCTTTCAAATCCGGTTGGACAGGTTTGGTAATGATGAAAGTTAGAGTATCAATTGACCCATAGTACACCCATTTTAAGACTCACGATTTTACATACTTCTAGCTGTCCTTAGAACAATTAAACAGTAGTCCTGAAAAATTAGTTTCAAATGAATTAAAAAGACATCAGCAGTATTTCGGAATTAAAATTGTCTTGTTTATTGTCTTTAAATGTGTTCTAATTACAATTTAGAAATTTAGAAATTTACGTTTTATAGGACTTTAGTGCTGCGGAAAGGATCCTCCGAAGCGGGTACAAAAATTAAATTAATAAAAACCAATCTTCCAATTGCCGCCGAAAGTCTGTTCCAATTTCGTCGCGAAAGAAAAATAGTTGTTGGTGTGGCGGAAAATTGGAAGGTTGCACTTACGTGCTGACATTAATTTGTTCTAATAAGTGGGAATACGGCCTCCCAGCGGTAAATTTATAAATTTAGACCACTTGCCTAAACACACTGCAAGACTTTTTTTTTTGATTTAGTCCAGTGTACATACATACACACATATATTATGTAACAGCTTGTTTGCATAAAGCTACATATTTCAAGTATTCGAATTTCTTGGTTGAAACTTTTGCGGACTACTGGAGGATCAGGAGCAAAGTCCCATCTGATTTTAAGCATTTCGGGTAATTAACATAACTTGCCCGTGGAAGTTATTTCAGAATTCATTTCCACGCAGATCAGACATAACTTCCAAGGATGTTAATTCGTGACATAACATCCGGAAGATCTCCAAGAAAATCTTATGGAGGTTGTATCATGACTTAACTTTCACAAAAAAAATCTATCCCCAGAGAAAATAAAAATAGCAAAAAATAATGTTATCAAATCACTGTTATTATTTGGAAACAAAAATCATTTAGGAGTTCAAGCCAACATTAATAACACGGTGCTATAAAAAGAAACTTCCAAATTCTGGCAAAAGTGTAGTCTACTTTATTGCGTTAACGATTTAAAGCACACCCTTTCATGTATGCTCAGTTCCAAATTTATTTTCCTGGACACGTGACGAGCATTTAATTACAATAGACTGTTCGGATTTTTTTTTATCAATGCCAGTTTTTCTAAATTCAGAAGAAAGGCGAATTTTTTTTTAGATCAACGGAAACTCCTAGGTGCACTGTGTTATACTGAAAGATCTTATAGGCCATGTTGCATACGCAACAGTTTTCCAAAACTGTAAAGCAAAATCATCGATATTTTTAGCAAAATTTGTTGATTTTTTATAAATGTTGCATAAAGTTTAAAACTTTGATATATATTATTTTGGTTAAAGAATGAACATAAAAAAATAACAACAAAATGTTAGCTCAAAACCCATTTTGAATATAAAAAAAAAATCACCAAGTGAACGATGGTTTGAGTTGTTGTATTTGTCTATAATAACTTCAGTAGGAGGTCTATTGAATGATGAGGTTTTGTGGTTGCCTTTAGTTTTATCTTCGCGTTTGGTTAAAGAAAACTCAGAAGATCTTATTATTATGTCTCAAACACCTTATACATAGTTGAACAAAAAATTCCTTACTATATGTAAATAATAATTTTTTTATTGTAATAAGTAGTTAAAAATAAATCGAACAAAACCTATTGTTTTTATGTAATACCTAAACAAATTTATTGGTGGATTTTCTTCAGATTTGAAAGGCCTTTTTCAAGTTGGTGGTAAGTCGTTTTCTCAGTAGCAACATTGACCAATATTTTTCACACAATAAATACTATCTTAGACAGTGCGGTTTCGTACGATTCTCCGGATCCGGAAACGAACGGGAAGCGACTACAATTTTCGTTCATTTACGTATCCAAAAAAGTTCAAAAAATAGTGGGGATTTCGTGTCCGGAAATGAACAGAAAACGACTACAATTTTCATTCATTTTCGTATCCGGATAACGTTCGAATGATGGCGATGATGCTATTTGAAAGCAATAACTGTGGCTGAAGGTGAGAGTTTCGAATGACGTTAGGCAATTCCTTAATTTTTTATTTTTTTTGCAAACCATGAAAAAGCATTTGTGAAGTGCAGAGGGAAAGCATACTGAAGGAAAATAGAAGACAATTTTCATAAAAACAGCCAAAAACGTAGGCTTTTTAAAACAATTTTCGTATCGTCAAAGTATACAAAAACGGAATCGGTAAGCGGAAAAAATCCGTATTTCGTCCACTTTTTTTCTTTCTCGATCCATTTTCAGATTTTTACTGGCTGGTTAATTTCTGCTATTTTTTTCAAAAGACAAGATACATTGGAATCATAATAAAACAAAAAAAATATATATATAAAATTTTGGCTAATTTTTTTTGACCGTTAAGGCTCGATATGTATGTAAGTAATTAAATAAATAAATAGCTTTTTTTATGGGTAGCGGGAGCAGAGCTCGGAGCGGAATAATATCCCGGAGCGAAGTAAGAGCGGAGCGATGAAAAAAGAAACCTTTGCTCCGAAGCCTTGATCTTAGCAGACATATAATTATTATACCAAGAAGCTGTTGCCCTTAACAAGCTATTGAGTTTGACCCAGGTTTATATCACAATATCATGGAGGTCATAAATTTGTATTCTACTTTTACAACACAATATGAAAGTTTGTCTAAAAATATTACAAAAAAACTTTTAAGTTGAAGACTCAAAACATAAAATTTTTAACATTTTCTTAAGTTAGGATCTTGATATTATGTGCTTTGAACTAACATACCTATGCTAGAAATACAGGCAATCACTTAACAAACTAAAATGTTTATTTAGCGAATCCTTGTTGGCAACTTTAAAATTAAAAACGAACTTATTTCCCTTATAAAGTTCTCTAATCATTGACACCTCAATACAATCAATAATAATCTTACATACATATGCATGTATCTCAATGCTTTTCGTCACAGTGAATAGCTAAACATTGCGTGAGCTGGCGAGTGTAAGCCAACACAAATTAATGACGGCGTTGCATAAAATTAAAAATTACGTATACGCAACGTAATACCTTTACATTGTCGTCTAATGGTTTGACAAAAAGCTGTACCTTAGTATTATTTAATTTCTATTTTTTGTGTGCGCGAAAAGTGAAAGAGTTTCTGAGTATGTAAGTATGAGTCAATTCTTATGTTTTTATGTACATATACATATATGTATGTATGTACATTTGTAAGTTTATAAAATTTTAACTCTATGCGCAACCAATGGGGAAAAATAATCAAAATTATACAAACAATTTAAATATAATTAGCCTTAAAAGTCGAATAAATAAGCCTGACAAATAATGAAATGCGTGAACCAGCGCAGTGGCACACGACTGGAAGAGAGAAAAAAGCCAAAGGAACAGAAAAGGAAAACAGGGAAAGAAAACTTAACGAAGCAATGCGCACGTGCTGGCATAAAAAATACAAAGCCATACGCCACACGCACTATCGCCTACGAAGCAAATGTGTGAGCTCGTAAAAAATGCAAATGAACTGTATTGGTAGGAGTGGTGAAGCTGCATGGCAGTACTGGAAGTTTGCGTGGTGAATGTAGCATTTGTGTGTGTATGTGTGCTAAATTAAATGAAACTTGTTCGTTTCGTTTGGGTTAGTGGTTCTCTATGTGTGTACGTGTGCGTGTGTGTGTTTGTTTGTTCGTTTCCATAAAATGGAAGCAAAATATGTGATGACGCTCGCAATGCAGCGATGTTGACGTTGTGCGTGGCAGCGCAACTAAAGACTGGCGTAGCAACTGCGACAGCTACAGCGACGTTAGCGGCGACGCCGGCTGGCAATGATGGGGTGAGGATAGTTAGCTACAGCGATGTCGGTGATTGCTTTCATTGAGGACGAGCGGAAATATATTTCTCTTTGCGAAATTTCAAAGCCAGTCAGTTGACAATGTGCGGACGCGTATGCTGAAAATATTTGTGCATTTTGGGCTGCATGAAAAATGCACTAAATTGTGTTTTCTTCTTATTGTTCTAAATATTTTGCTAGTTAAGGACAGAAAACCATTGTGGCTCCAGCAGCGGAAAATATTCAATACATATGAACAAAGAATGTACTGACAATTGTGTGGAGATTTTTTTTTTGGAAGAAAGAACTCACATTTTTATACAAAATAAAAAGTGTATAAAAGCAACACTAGCATTGCAAAGCAAATAAATATAATTAAGAAAAAAAATAAACAAAACAAATCAAGTTATAAGTAGGCGTAACACGCACACCACTGCCTCTCCCAACAACAACAAACAACAGAAACTAAAAAAAACAATAATAATAAATAACACAAAAAAAAATATATCTATGTGTACTCCTGTGTACGTGTATGTGTGTGTGCGTGTGTTGTTTGTTTGCCAAACGCTAAAGGCGTCGTAACTTTCATCTGTAAAATTCCATTCGAAATCATCATAATCAACTAGCAACACCTGTAAATATTTGACAACAACTAAAAAAAAAATAGATAAACACAAAAACAACTAAAGCAACAGCAACTACAGTCGACTTAAGGCTGACCTAAAACGCAAAATGCTCGTAAAATTAACTCAGAAGAAACCAAAAATCTCTTATCTTCAAAAATAAACCAAAGCAAAGGGGACATACTGAACCGTTAATTTGAAATAAAATATCGTTAAATTAAGTAAAAAAAAAAATCAACTTAGTATCCAGTAAAAAACATAAAAAAACGCAATTGCAATTGAATAAATTTACAACAAAAAAAAACCAGCGACAAAAATAAACAAATAAATTATTGTATAATAAAAAAATTTCTAATTAATCTGTGATTTCTGTGATTTATTATTTTTTCTCGCATTAAATTTGCAAGCAACCAGAAAATTAATAAATTTGCTTACCATTCGATCTCGAAAAAAGTGCTGATTACCAAAATACAAAAAAAAAACCTAAGTAAGTAAGGGCAACAGCCGCTGCAATAGTAAAAGCGAAAATTCGCAACCCAAAGCTATTTGCGTTTGGCTTAAGTGAAAGGCGGAGCGGGCTGTATGCATTGAATATTCAAAAAGTAACCATATTTTATTAACAAAAATAAAATCAACTTATAAATTTAGTGAAGTAATAGCAAATTAAAAAGTAAAAGCAAAAAGTATAACAACTAATCAAAAACAAAAATTTAACCTGATAAAATAATACTTGAAAAAAAAAAAAACCAAATACTACTCTCTTAAGCTGCTGTACATATATTTACATATACTTAGTGAAATAAAATTTCCAAAATACGCCTGTAAATTTCGTAATACTCATCGAACCAAACTACTCATTTTGTCTGCAATAAATTACAGCAATGGCAAGCAGCAAGTAGTTGAGCAACAACATCAATCACACATTAATAACCAAAAACAACCGGAAATATTTATTAGCGTTTAGCAAACGTTTAGCGTCCATCGCATAACTATAACGACCGACTGTACACGCCTACCGCCTACTACGTATTAATATTACACATATTAAAACATATATATTCTACGGTTACGTCTACTCCACTCTAATTGAGCCGTGTTCCGTGTCGTTCCGTTCACGTTCACGTTCTCATCGACGTTTTGTTATTTTAATAATTTTGTATGGCTACAAATTAACTAAGCAAATATATGGACTTACATTCGTAAAAATTGTCGATTCGTTCGCTTTGCTAAAAATACATCACTAGTCACTGGGTAGAATTCTTCTTCTTCGCTGTAATCATCTGCTTCAAATCTTCTTCGTAGTCCAACAAATCGTCTTTCGCTTTTGAATTTTCTTCTTGTTTTCTTCTCCTTCTTCTTCTTCTTCGATCAACGTGTAAAACTGTTCGTGTCATCACTGTCAAATGTCAAATAGTCGATTGCATGCCACGTGGATGACGTGTCAATCCTCAGAAATGAGCGTAGTCGTGCATCAGGTGTAGCACAATTATGGCCCAACGGTCGACTAAAAACTATAAGAAATTGGATACATTGACGGTAGGTGCACGTGACTCTAAATATGTATATATGTATGTACAGTAGGGTGGTCCAAAAAAATAGTTGAAAATGTTAAGCTCTCACCTCCTAGGATGCTTCTTAATTAAAAATAGAATACACATAATAGAAATGGTGTAGAATTCTTGAAAATCAATATTTCTCTATCTTATCTCTTCAGAAAAAGAATACCCAATCTTATATTTTACTATTTTTTATTACAAGCGATTTTTTATCGGACCCTATTTCATCTTTTGGGGTTCTCGGGGGACCTATAAAAAATAGGTAATATTCAGAATTGGTTAAATAAACAATTGGGCATTGTTATTGGAAGTCTCTTAAAGAGAGACAGAGTTTGCCGATCGAAAAATTTTGATTTTCAAGAATTCTATACCATTATGCGAAAAAGTGTGTTTTCCTAAAATAAAATACATGAAAATCTTCATGGGCTTTGAAGCAGTTCTAAACATATTTTTTTTTAAATAAAAAATATGGATATTTTTTTTTCGACTTAGAAAAATTCCAGTAAGAGAGCTTCACATTTTGAAGGTTCTCCCCGCCGAATGTATTTTTGGATCACCCTAATATACAAGCATGCGGTTTAACTTAGTATATATATAAGTGGATATTTATTTATTTAAATTTTCTCATGTCTCAGGAATTATGAATTGTAGGTTAGCAATTTTAAGGGTGGAAGGCCCACATTCATTGTGGCTGAAAGAAGATTTCTATTTAAAGCATTGCATTGGAAAACAGCAGCATAAGAAATTCTATTATAGTTATTGTATTCGGGTGTTAGCTATATTAAAACTGCGGCTCTTTATAGCCCTGAAGTATTTATTATTTAATGGGAGGACCGATAGGTCAAAAAGCATGGGTGACCAGTTAAGTACTGCGCCGAATAAAATTGTCCGCTAAAAAAAAATATGACAAGTACCAAACCAGTTGCCGCCTTTAAAAAATTGAAGCATTTTATTTTTAGAAGTAAAAACAAATGCACATAAAATGGTAAGGAAACAAGAGCTATCTTCAAAAGACCAATCAGGTTTAAATAAATGTATTTTCACGAAATTTCAATTTCTTTGCCATTTTCGCTTAATATATATATTTTTTTTTATTTAACGAAAAAGACGCGCACTACTTCCTTACAGTCACTACCCTTGAGAGTGCATTCCTAGGAAAGTCTGAAACTCCACACATACGCGGGAAGGGAGTGGCAATATTACTTTAGTTTTGCAGAGCAGGTCGGCGGTAGAGCAACAGCTGAGACCTTTAAACAGCTACCACTGCTAGTTAAAGTTTTGCTCAATTTAAGCTTGCCTGACTGAGGGTAGGCCAGAAACTTCTACACCTCGTCGCAAAAAATATATCTCCTCAAGCTTGTCGTCAACTATCTGGCTACTCATTGTAGCCTTGTGCCCAAAAAATCAGAACTGCGAAGTATTTTGATGCGATTAAATGGGTCGTCCGAAATTCTATGTATAATTCGGATTGCACCTTCAATGAGTTCACACCTTTGCTTAAGTTTAATAATAATAATAATAATAAACCGGTGCCTACACTTCTGCTGAGTGTTTGCCGAGGTTCTCCTCCGATTTGTGGCGTACGCCTTGATTTTGTCATACAAAGTGGAGAAACTTCCGAACAGCGGTAGTGCTTTTATGAAGAGGCTTTTTCCATGGCAGAAATATACTTGAAGGTTTGCCATTGCCTGCCGAGGGGCGACCGCTATTAGAAACATCGTTTTCATTGCTTTTGTTTTTGGTGTCGGAAGCTACGCTCGATCCCAGGCGCTGCACTTCTAATCAATTCACCACAGCGGCTGCTTAAGTTTACTGCAGTTAGTGTTCGGATCCATTAATTGCCGATGAATTCATCTTTTCACAGAAATTGGGCCATTCGTAAAGAGGCTTACTTGTCAAAATAGAAAGTAGACAATTCCCACTAAAAGTAGCTCAAAACTCCCGGAAACCATGAATATAAGGGAAGAACCCTATTAAAAAGTCTAGAAATCGTTTTATAATCCTCAAACTCTCAAGCTTGAAAACTTTGGAGCCCGATGTACAAAAAAATAAATACAAATACTTCAGCATTAAACCTATTAAGAACCCGAAGGTTGCCCGAGGTCTCCCGTTTCTGATTTGTTATAATAAATACAGCCAGATATTTGTCGACCGATTTCCAAATGTAGTTACTTCTTAATTACTCCGAGTGAACAGCTTATTTACCCGGCTTCGATGTTCTGAAGGGATATTTGGTGCTCATGGGTGGGTTCATGTCTCGTTACTACTTATAAATTTCGCGTCAGAAAGGAGAAAAATAATGAATTTATACTTATGTATAAGTGATCACTAGACTTAAGTTTCTCTATGCCCGGAGGCAATGGTGACTTTTTTATTTGCGTTCTAGTGTGGGTCCAAAAGGTAGCATAGAGATCTTCAGGAACTTCGGAGCTTCGGAGTTGTTTTACAATTCGAAATGGCAACTTTATTTTACTCTCTATTTTAAACTCTCTTAGTAGATATACAGTATCTTCACAACAGATTTAATTGTTTACTGCAAACTACCTCATGTGTAACTTTACCACCTTAAAAGTTGAATAAGGTTGTAGAAGGACAAGCCTAAAAGGGAAAGAATGCCTGCAGTTTCGAATATATGTAAGTAATTCCGAACGGTTATGCCGTTGTCGCAATTTCGAGTTGTTAAAAGAGCTGTGCGAAGAAGTTAACCAAGCCTGTTAGGACGCTTAAGAAACTAAAACAATTAGTCCAGTCAATGTGCCAAATCCTTTCTATAGCTAATTACTAAGGATCTTTCTCTTGCTCCGTCCATGTTTGCTAAGTAAAGCCGAAGCAAACGTGACAAGCTATCGGCACGGAAAGCCCCACGTCCAGACAGTATCCCAAACGGCGCCCACTGCCACTTAGAATATTTGAACAATAAAAAAGGCCGAAGTGATAACAGTAGCTCTCTTAACATTAATGGTGAATGCCGGAGAGCCTATGTAGCATTTTAGGCAAATCTTGGCTGCTTTAGCAAGAACGGTATTACTTAGTTTTTTTTTTTTTTTGGTTGCTTGAACTATATATTAAGTTTAGTTTAGCTAGAAAGGCCAACGAACGCTTGGCAATATTCCATGTTTTTTTTTTTAAATTTGGACAAGTAGTTTTTATTAAATATAGTTAGGACCCTCTGCCTTAAGTGCCATGAAAGGTATTGAAATTTTTTCTGCCTATTAACTTTTTTTCTCCACCACATTGATGTGTTCTAATTCCGGCAGCGTGTTTACTTCCAACATAAAATTTTACTTTGCGACAGT